GAATTCAGAGCAAAATCCTGGCAAAGACAAGCACCCAAACCTCATACTCATTTTCACTTTCTGCCAACCGGAAGAGGAAAGAGAAACAGAGCTGTGCTATATGGTCTTGAAGGACAAATGGAGTCGAAGCCTAAGCCCTGCAAGACTAGAGTTCATCTGAATGATTTGACTTGAGGTAGTGTCCTCCCTACAGTCCTACAGCAATGTGTTCCCAGGAAAGATTTCTCACACCAAGTCATTCCGGGATATGGTTGCCTCACAGCCGGAAGAGTGCCACTCACTTTGCAAGAATTAGTAGTTGGTATATGCAGCAGAAATAAAAGGTGAAACCCATGCCTGTATATACCTCGTGTATGTATTCAAGTTAAAAAGAGACAGGGCAGGTTTTCTGTCTAGTGATTAAGAGAACTGTGTCCCATTTTGGAGTCCCTGGATCTGATGCCTGTCTCTAGCTTCTCACTTAGGCTCCTGCCTAAGTGCATACCCTGGGAGCTAGTAGTGATCATTCAAGTAGTTGAGTTCCTGTCACCCTTGTGCAAGACTTGGATTACATTTTCACTTCCGGCTCCAGCCCAGCTCCAGCCATCAATGGCATTTGGGGAATGAACCATAGGATGAATGTGCTCTTTCCCTCTCTCCTCCCCACCCCCCACCAAGTAATAGATAAATAAATGAGGAAGACAGTATCCTTCTATCCAAACTGCGGCTGCATTCTCATTGTTCAGGTATTTTGAAAGTTGTCCTGCCCGTGAACAGAACTGTAGCCCATTCCTAACTCCATCTCGAGTTTGCCATTGAAGCAGACACCCCCCCAAACTTCTCACTCTAGCCAGCCATAATTCCCCATCACAAAGTGGGATTAGTTCTACCATAAATAGCCCCTGAGTGCTGCCAAAAGAGAATTTGAAGCAATATCATTAAAGAAAATTATTGTTCAACTTTTTAAATTGCTCATTTGAAACCATCTGAAAGAGAAGGTGCTTGACCAAGGGAGACAGGAAGGTCAAGTTTGCTTTGAAGTAAGTCACCTTCTCTGCAGAGGCCTGTTTTGTGACTTTTGGCCTGCAGCCCTCAGGGCAGTATCACTCACCAGTGCACAGTGACTTTTGTCAGGCAAGTGCTCAGAAGAGCACAAGTACAGATGCAAACCTAAAGCATCCCAGGATTGCAGGCGCCCACTGAGGTTGGGGAGTGAGACATAAACCCACTTTCTCTTCCCGCAACACATCTGATGTTCATGCAGGAAGACAGCTAAGGCAGAAATCCAATTACTGAGCTAATTAGCACCTTTGAGTGGTAAGCACCAAATTTACTGGAGGAAAGCACTGGAGAAAAGCTCAAATTACCCAGTATGGCTGACAGTTCACCTTCTTAGAGAATTGGTGGAGAGCCAGAAGCCCTAGGGTACCCGGCAGCTCAACTTAGTTATTGCTCATCAGAAGTTAGCACTTCGCTTTCAGAAAAAGGCTGTAACCTTTTGAAAAGATAGCTTTCCGGTGAACACAGTTTTAGAAGGTGTTTTAATTCCCTAAGGAGTTTTGTAAATTATTTTCTTTTGGCTCAATCCCACTTTAAAAATTGTTTATTCTGCTGCTGAAAATTCCATTTGTCCTAGGTCTTAAGGTGAAATTAAAATTCCACTTAGGGACTAACTATGCAGACATGGGATTTCTGCCTTCATCAGAAAGAATTTTGTTTGCTTTACTTCCTGCTACCCTGAGCTCTTTTATTTTCAAAGCTGCTGTGAGAATATTTGGAAGGAAAGCTGAAGCAGTAATATGAGAAATCTTCCAAAAGTTTGTGGGAAATACATACCATGTGAAAAACTATGCATGGATTTAAAATTTTTGTGCTGAAATAAATTTGCCTTTTAATTCTATTTTTAATAAACTTTGAAAGTACACTTGTGGAATGCCATGCTGGTGGTCACAAACATTTTGAGGCATTAATAGTATATACCTCTTTCTAATCCATCTGTAAATCTATTCAAATAGGATGCTGCCTAGATTGTTCTCAAATGCCTGAGAGCCACAGGGAAAAACAAGCATACTTTTGTCTGAAGACAGCCTTTTCATTCACAAATTACAGTTCCATCCAGAACTTTTTATCTGCTCTGTTTCCCAAGGGACAAATTCATAAAGAAGTATGAATTCTGAGATTTCTCCTTAAACACCACTACTGACAAATGTTCATCACTGGTTATACCATAGTCATCCGTCAGTGATCACATTTAAACATAAACAAAATAAGCAGCATCAGGGGTTAGCTAGTCTCCTGTCTTAGCAAGTCTCATAAGAGCAAAAACTCCAGAGGCAGCCTCATCTTCATTCATTCAACAACTACTGCTTGAGTGACTCCTAAGTATTGTGTGAGCAAAAAAAAAAAAAAAAAAAAAAAAAAACTTTCATCATACTTAGGATTTGGAGTAGGAGGCAGCTATGATTAGATAATCACACAAGGAAATGTGTGTGATGTGGAATAAGGCTCCAGGGCTGGTCTACCTGGTTTCACTTGCTCTATCTGTGATGATAGGCACTTTACTTAATCTCTCTGTGGCTCCGCATCTTCTCTGAGAGTGGTAATAATAATAGTATCTACCCCAGACAGTATTTGTGAGGATATAATGAGTTAAAACATGTTAAGTACTTAGAATAGGCTCATACCACAAACAAGTGCTGCGTAAATGTAAGTTATCATCATTATTATCAACACTGACCATGACAAGTGCTCCAAAGGAAGAGCTATGATATGTGGGAGAACAGAGCCCACAGCCCATGAATCTCACCTTGATCAGGGGCTAGGGACACTTCCCTGAGAAAGTGACCTTTTAGCTGAGACTTGGATGAGAGGGGTACACAAGTGAAAATAAGTGGGAGTGGAAAGGGACTACTGCAAGTATTGGAGTGCAGAGGAGGGAGGGGGGTGACAAGAGTAGGAGTTTAGGGCGTACTGAAGATGTGGGAAAATATGAGGCTACTTGAGAAAGTTAGTGGAAAAATGGAAGTAAAAGACGAGTTTAGTCATTTAGTCTGGTGGTTACAATGCCAGTTAAGGCCCGCTTCCTGAATCAGAGTGTGGGTGTTCTTTTCCTAGCTCTGCTCCCAGTTCTAGTATCCTACTAATGGAGACCCTGGAAGGCAGTGGTGATGGTTTAAGTAATTGAGTTCCTGTCACCCATGTGGGAGACCTAGATTGATTTCTTAGCTTCAGTTTGGACAGGCCCCAACTGTTGGGGTCACTTGGGAGTCAATCAGTGGATTGGAATTCTATATGTATATATATATATATATATATATATATATATATATATAGATCTGTCTTCCTATCACTGTCTCTCTGCCTCTCAAGTAAGGTTTTTTTTTTTTTTTGGTTTTTTTTTTTTTTTTTTTTTTTTGACAGGCAGAGTGGACAGTGAGAGAGAGAGACAGAGAGAAAGGTCTTCCTTTGCCGTTGGTTCACCCTCCAATGGCCGCCGCGGCTGGCGCGCTGCGGCCGGCGCACCGCGCTGATCCGATGGCAGGAGCCAGGAGCCAGGTGCTTTTCCTGGTCTCCCATGGGGTGCAGGGCCCAAGCACTTGGGCCATCCTCCACTGCACTCCCTGGCTACAGCAGAGAGCTGGCCTGGAAGAGGGGCAACCGGGACAGAATCCGGCACCCCAACCGGGACTAGAACCCAGTGTGCCGGCGCCGCTAGGCGGAGGATTAGCCTAGTGAGCTGCGACGCCGGCCTCTCAAGTAAGTTTTTAAAAAAATAAAGATGGGTTTATTTTTGGTATAAAACAAATTAAAATATGTGCATAACTTTTTTCATAACATACATTTTCATAAACTTTTTGAAGACTCCTTGTGTGCATGGACTTCAAAATATTTTTGCACCAAAACAAACATCTATCAATTTTATTTCTCATGAACCTTTTGAAATACCCTCTTAAGGTCAGTATGGTTGGAGCATAGAAAATAAAAGAGTGCATTAGCAAAAGCAGGGGACAGGCATGTGGAAGAACCGCCTTGTCACAAATGCTAAGGGACCCTCATTATATTCAAATCTTCACATAAACTTTATGTTCAATGGTGATATTTTTCTTGGGAAAACTCCTTTTTAGTGGCTGATATATCAGGAGCCACATGAAATTGGCATAAACTATTAAATATCATCAATATCAATTTCATATTTTATCCCTCAAAGACTGAGGAGACCATGTCTCAATAACTGACACAAAAAGACAAAGCTGCTCCGGAACTGAGCAGCGCCCGTTGTTGCACTTATAAAGGGTTTCTGGGATGCATGAAGTTCAAGAACTGGACAAGTTTTTGAGACATATATGGGTTGACAGCATGTGCTCAAGAGGTTACTGGACAGGCTTGTGGATCAGTCGCCACTCAGAAGTCGGGGTGAGCCTGTTCCTCACTGGCTGGCTCTCAGAAGCAAAGGGTTGTCATGGAATGGCTGATTTACAAAAGCTGGGATGTCATTTGTCATGATGGAGCATGCTCGTAGCTGCTTCTGGTGGCCATTCATTACTATGGCTGCAGACTGGCCCTCTTCAAAGTTTTCATGAGCTGGTGTTGGGTTTGACCTAGGAAAGATCTCTAAGGGAGCACTCAATTCTTAAAAGCCAGTGGTGACTGGAATCAATTTGAAAAGAAAGATAGCTATGTGTGTACTGCTTTCAAGTTCTCAAAGTTAGTGGCATCCCATTGGCAGTTCAAATACTTGCTTTTATTTTGTGAATCTGGTGCTCAAAACTGATGAAGACACAAGACTGTTCTCCCCAGATCAGGGAACTACTCATCTTTCTCCTCCATGTTCTTGTGCTTTTACCTCTCTTTGCTGTCAAGAGGCTCCTCTCTTCTTGCAGTATGTCAAACTGGAGCAGTCATCTGAGTGTGTGAGCTTCAACTCCTCTGCATTTCTCGCTCACACAGTTGGTTCTGTAAACCAGCTTTCTCCCATGGAGGGATCTAATCATGACCTTTTACCATTTTGTGGCCTCTTCTAGTACAAGACGAGTGGATAATTCCAACACAAGACTGGCAGTTCAAATTGAAAGGGATCCAGGTAAGCTCTCTTCCCTCTGTTTAAAATATTTATTTATTTTGTTATATAGATGGGTTTGAAAAAGGGGAATTAACGACTCACTATTTTTAATCACCATGGAGACAATGCATATCCTGGTAAATATGCCAACTGTAAAAGAAAACTGTGAGGAGACTGATAAAGCATCCTGGTTTGGAAATGCATTCCTCCATTATTTTGAATTGATTAGGTTCTTGTTCAGTATGGAATGACTCTGCTAATCATTTTTATTTGTGTATGGTAAATGTCAAACATAGACTCTAAACCTTGGGATCGATCTTTTAGAAAAAAAAAAGTCAGCATTATGATGTCCTTCAAGGAAAACCATTGCAGCATCCAGACACCTTCAGAAACTTCAGTAAGCTATAGAAGGATTTGCCTGCAAGCAAATTATTTTTGTTATTTTCATGATTTATTTCATTTATAACCTTCCTCATACAGAATGCAAATTTTAACTCCCTCTACTCTCATCTATCTCACTCTCTCCTTTGTGTCAAAAATTTTGTCTAGGAAGAATTGTACTGGGCGCATTATCTATATTTGAATTATATATACATGATTAATTTAAAATCAGACTTTGATATGTGAAAATACCTAGCGAGGCAGGTGTATTTTTGGCTGAACTGAGTACAGCAGAAAGGGGATGGATACACAAACATCTCTGACCTGCAGTTGTGGGGCTCTGTGACCTTACAGGACTATTGGTGTTAGGCATAGAGACCATTTCTCAAACACATCATCCTTCTAATTAGTTGCAATTATTATTATTATTATTATTATTTTTGACAAGCAGAGTTAGACAGAGAGACAGAGAGAAAGGTCTTCCTTCAATTGGTTCACTCCCCTAATGGTCGCCATGGCCAGCGCTGTGCCGATCCAAAGCCAGAAGCCAGGTGCTTCTTCCTGGTCTCCCATGCGGGTGCAGGACCCAAGCACTTGGGCCATCCTCCACTGCCTTCCCGGGCCACAGCAGAGAGCTTGACTGGAAGAAAAGCAACCGGGATAGAATCTGGTGCCCCAACCGGGACAAGAACCCCAGGGTGCCGGCGCCACAGGTGGAGGATTAGCCAAGTGAGCCATGGCGCTGGCCAGTTGCAATTATTTTTTCATTTAAATTAATTATTCAGATGTGTGGTCCACATGTTCTAAGAAGATGCCCTGAGTTGAATCTCTACTTTTAGTGATTTAAATTATTTTGTTTTATTTAAACATTGAACAGTCTGAACAGTTAAGCAAAGGCTAATTTTTCATTCAAGGCTTTTCTTTAAAAGTGTTGGAGACTGAAATTAATCTTTCATTAGTATCTCAGGATGTGTGCTGACTCATTACAGAATATGAGTATAATGTCAGATCAAGAAAGTTTCATATCCATAGATGACTAAGCATACTGATACTTTATTAGACTACTGGCATGACTCAGTGCATAGAGCAGTTTTTTCCCCATTAGTTTAATTAAGCTATAAATGCACTAATTTCAATACAGCTTTTAACCATTATGAATGCCTGGCAAGAGTATTCATAATCTGATAGTGTTATCTTAAGAGATTTCTTATAGATGAATGGACATCTGGCTTATGCAAGTGCGGTAGGGTGTCTTAACCTATCTGTACTCCTCCATTGCATCCTGCCTGGTTCTTGTGAGTAAAGAACAGAGGTGCTCTGATCAGATCTGTACTCATTCTCTCACACCTCCCTGATTCTGTTTCCACTCCAGTAAAACAGAAGGGATCCTTTAGATTTACTTTAGGCTTTTCCTTTGTGTGAAAACTCTATGCATGCATGCATGTCTGGCTTTTCAGAGCCAGAATTTTCTCTCTAAAGAAAAGCCATTCCCAAAACAAGAACCCCTAAAGGTAAACTTTTCTCCTAGTCCTCCCCAATGCTTCCTCCACCCACACGGCCATAGAGCAGGAAGGCTTCCAAATTTTCCCAGTCTTTTCTTAACAAAGCTTATATCCTTCATCTTGAGAGATCCCACAGAGGGAGGGAAAGAAGTCTGGGCCCATCTGGGAGGTTACAGGAAATGCGCTGTGTAACCCCAATTCCACCCCCTGCCAACACATAGCTATGGGCTTCTACTGTGAAGCTAGATTTTTCATCATTCCATCTACTTCACAGCCTTCCTTGCCTGTCACCATCCATCAAATGAGAATGACTGAAATTATACCAGCAAACAATAATTGGCAACACTAAGTCCTGGTAGGATGCAGAACTAGAACTTTCAATCACTGAAGGGTGGATGCAAAGATGGTGCAACCATTTGAAGAAAGGCAGCCCCACTTATCAGTATGTCCTCAAGAACAATGAAAGGTCAAATGCGCACCAACTCATGTTCATGAGTGTCTGTAGTAGTTTTTACTTACAATCATTGAAACTGGAAAGCCTAATGTCCTTCTGCTTATGAATAGATAAACAAACTGCAGTGCAGGAATACGGCTCAATGTTGAAACTGGACAAAATACCATTGCATACAGCATGGATGAATGCATGATTCTGAGTGGTGGATACAAAGATACATGCATTTTTCAAGACTGATACAATAGTTCATTAAGAAAAGATTAATTTTATCACATGTAAAATATTATTCAGTAAGCCTCTTTTATATGCATTATAATTTATGAAAAAAATGACATCAATTTATATACAGCATAAATTGGATATATATGTGTTATATATAGTCATATATTAAATATATATTTGTATATAATATACTGGTAATTATTTTTGGTATACTTATATAATTATACATGTATATAATATATACTATATATGTATAACATGTACATATTATGTATATGTAATATACATATAAAATATACGTATACCTGTATAAAGTGTATGTTATATGAACTATATACATATAATATGTATATATTATATATGTATATGTAATGTATATTATATGATGTATATATTATGTATATGTATATAATATATACATATAACATGCATGCGTTATCTTAGATTTAATGGCATATATAACATATTATATAACATACAATATGTGATATATAACATGTCATATGTTTTATATATAACATATTATATAACCTATGACTTTGATTTTTAAAAAAATCCTGAGTTACTTGATGATGATTTTTTGTGTGTGTTTTGTATGTTTTTTTGTTGTTGTTGTTTTGGCAGGCAAAGTTAGACAGTGAGAGAGAGAGACAGAGAGAAAGGTCTTCCTTCCGTTAGTTCACCCCCCAAATGGTTGCTACAGCCGGCGCACTGCGCCGATCCAAAGCTAGGAGCCGGGTGCTTCCTCCTGGTCTCCCACTCAGGTGCAGGGCTCAAGCACTTGGGCCATCCTCCACTGCACTCCCGGGCCACAGCAGAGAGCTGGACTGGAAGAGGAGCAACTGGGACAGAATCCAGTGCCCCAACCAGGACTAGAACCTGGAGTGCCAGTGCCGCAGGCAGAGGATTAGCCTAGTGAGCTGCAGTGCTGGCTGATGATGTTCTTAAAAACAACATTTCTCTTAAGGAAGCTGTATGATCTGTGGTGCTACATGTTATTCAACAGATATTTAGTTAGTCCACACTACAGATGTTTGGAATTCTGCGGGTATTGGGATACAAAAATAAACACACTCATACACAGAGCTGTCTTCATTGAATTTACGGTGCATTAAAGAAACCAGATGTTAATCAAATAACCATATTTTCATACACCAGCATGCACATACACACAGATACACACACACAGAGTAAACTTCCTACTGGAACAAGCGCTTCAAAGCAGAGGTCTACAGTGCTGAGAGCTGTACCAGTGTCCGATCACAGTGGTCAGTGCTGGCTTCCTGAAGTGGTGACTGAGCTAAGCTCTGAAGAGTAGTAGAATGTATACACCAGAGAGAATTGAAGAGCAGCCTGGGAAGGGACGTTTGAGGTGTTCAGCTGGAACAAGTTTTGTGTTGCTGAGCTTAAAGACTGAGAAGAGAGTTAGTGAAAGATGAGGCTGGAGGCTGAAGTGAGAAGCAGGTCACACAGAGCCTTGTGTGTGATCATATGAGCAAGGTTTATTCAGAGACGTCCTGGCTTACACCTGTGAATGAAAAGCTGTATCGCTACCCTATTATGGACCATGTTAAGGGGTCATTTTTCTATCTTAAGAGCTTGAAAGGTCACTAAAGATTTTAAGTTTTGAAGTTGGAAGGTCTTGGGTAATACATTCGGCTTTACTGTGTGAGACATTCATTCTGGCTGTAGTGTAGAGAATGAACAGTAGGTCCCAGTGAATAAATATAGGTTAGTCAACAAGGCTACTGGGTTTGTTCACAGGAGAAATAGTAGTAGCCTGGAATAGGGTAGAAATAATGGAGAAAGGTAGAAAAATGCAAAAAATAAACTCAAGAAGGTAAAATTGAGAAAGGTGGAAAAAAAGGTCCACGCTATTGCTTTCTGGATGGGATAGGAACACAGGCGAGGGGTTCCCTGATTTGGGCACGTGGAATTGAGGAGCATTTGAGACTTTCAAGAGAAGATGTTAAGTAGAAAAGTAGGTATATGGTGTAGAGCTCAGACCAGAGATCTCAGCTGGATATCTGAATTTGTAAGTTATCTGTTTAGAGACTAACTAAATCCATTTGTATAGATAAGATTGCCAGAGAGAATATAGAGTGAAAAAAAAAATAGGAGACTCTGAGATAATGCGCTAAAATGGATGAGGAACAAGTCTTACTGTTTTTACATATACAAAGAGACTGATTTACTCTTTAATCAGAGGACAGCTCAGTCTTTCCTTGGCCCTGAGCTCACAGGGAGTAACCATTCAATGATCCTATTTCTTGTCTGCCTTTAGGGAATGATGACAACAATCTCAATTCCATCTTTTATGAGCACTTGACAAGGACCCTCCAGGAGTCCCTCTGTGGAGACTTAGTTCTTGGTCGCTGGGGTAACTACAGCTCTGGCGATTGCTTTATTTTGGCTTCAGAGGACCTCAATGCCTTTGTTCACCTGATTGAAATTGGAAATGGTCTTGTCACCTTTCAACTTCGAGGACTGGAATTCCGAGGTATGAATGATTTCATTGTACGATACACTAGAATTCAGTCGCTTGAGTTAATGGCCATGCATAGTTTTAATAAGAAGTCATTTGTAAAGGGGGGAAGAATGTAATGCCTGTCCTATTGAATGAGAGTTAGAAGCTTGCTACCACAACCTTCAGTGATGTATTTGGTATTAATAAACCCTAGTCTACTGAGGGAATAATAATGACATGAAACATATAATCCCATGTAAACCTGTGACTTAGCAAAGCAGGACATTGGTTTTAATCCTTATGGGAAAAATCCAGAGCAATGCACAGGCCCCATGTGGAGTTAATCAGACATAAAATAGAACCTACTGTGCTAGTCACTGGTGCTGGGGTCTGTTATGCATAAATCATTTCATGTCTTTTGAGCTTCTCTTTTTCATCTGCAAGATGATAATAATGATAAAAATAGTTGCCTCATGAAGTTGTTTTGTGATTTAAATGAGATCATGTAAATGAATGCACTATAAGAATACTCATTACTTTGCAATTATTGAGTCTGCCTGGCTCTTGAAAGTGAGACCCCACTGTTTCTCTGAACCAGGAGCTGGAGTTATATGATGGAAAATGAAGGGAGTAGCATAACTGATGCATCCTTGGGTTCTCTTCTCCTGCACTCTTCATTTGTTCCTTTATTTGTTGCATGTTTTCTGAGGATGTTCTCATGTTTAAGGCTGGAGATGTAATGGGCACATGCTATGAAAGAGAATAACTCTAATGACGTTCACCTCCAACGAGAGATATAGAAAATCAGCGAGTTAACAAGCAAACTAATCAGGATTTAGGGCAAATGCCATGAAAGTTGTAACTAGGGTTCTGGGACCAATAGTCACTGCAAAGGGTGAGAATGCGAGGTCCCACATTGGATGGGATGACCAAGGAAAACCTCCAGAGGAGGATGTAGGAAGAAGGTTCCAGGTGTAGGAACTGATGTGTGCTAAATGTATGAGTCAAGCAACAGCTTGGAGCACTCCCAGCCCCCAACAGAGGACTAATGACCAGAACTGACTGTAAATCTGAGGGCAACATGATACAGAAAAGAAGCGAAGTCAACAGATAAGAGATCTCACAGCCGGGGTGAGGGGTTGCATTTTGTTTTATGTATAATGGGAACCATGCAGTGAGTCTGGAAAGGGGGATGGCTGATCCTTTTTGTACTTCGAGATTGTTCTTGTGGGCCATGTGGAGAATGTACCAGAGGTGGGCAAAAGTGGAAGCAGGGAAACCATTTAGGAATGTGTTGTAGTGGTTCAAGTAGGGGATGACAGTAGAAACAGGGAAGTGCCAAGAGACTCCAAGGTAGAAACAGCAGGATAGAAAGTTGTGAGAAAGGGATGCTGGGCAAGTTTCTAGGCCAAGTGTCTGCATTGGGAAAGGTGTGTTTACTAAAACAGGGAAACCTGAATGAGAAACAGGATTTTTTAGTCTGGAAGTGGGAGCTCCATTTTGTACATTTTAATTTTATGATGCCCTTGTTTCACAAGTGAATAAGCCAAGCAGCCAATTGGACCAGCAGCCTCATCTTCTGTTCTTTCAGGAGACTTTTATTTGGCACTGATGCTGAGTCTTTGAATACAGAAGTAAGGGCTCCTACTCCATGACTCTGGATGCCTCTCAGAGAAGACAGATCAGACACGTAATTAGAAATCAGTTTTTCCTGAGATGAGTGTTATGGTAGCATTCTGTCAGCACTGCCATGGGGCTCAGAGGGACATTCTGGTCAAGTCGGGATCTGGCTTAGCTCCTTAGGGAGAAGCCTTGGTTGAGAGGGAGAGGGGGCAGGGCTTTTCTTACCAAGGGGCAGCAGGTGTGATGATGGAGAGGCACCAAGTTGACAGCTTTGGTTTCAACCAAGTAGCTTCGGAGAAAGTTGTTAAAATGATGCTACAAATGTGAACAGGAGCCAACTCATACCCAGCTAGAACCTCACTGTGACAAAAGGACAAAAACAAATTGTCAAACCACTACCTGAAGAGGACCATGTCTCTCAATTCTGTGGATGAGAACTCTAAGCATTACTTGTGTGGATTTTAACATTCCTAAACACACTGTATGGAAGACTTTATTTTTCTAGAGTAGTTGGTTCTGTTTTAGATGTACTTTCTGTGCAGTTTTATGAGTTTCAAAAATCTAATTTTGAGGACTTCATTTGGACAAGGCAGGGTGATCAGAATAATCACAGAAACTGTGTTGCCCCTAAATTTCTCAGCAATGCAGGAAAATGCCACAGGATGTGGTGGAAATTAAGTGTTCAGTGCAATGATGCAACTGTTCTCTGAGTTTCTGTATCTTATCTATTTTGAAAACTTTTCCGTTTTTCATGGAATTCAAAGAAAGAACTTTTAAACTAGCCTAATTGAATATGAGTTATCATTTCTATCACAAATCCTATGCAGTTTTTGCTCCTTTAGCAAATTTAACCAATCTTTAAAAGTATGGTCTAAGCATGGAACAGGGACTGCAGTGGCCTAAGCTGGGATGCTGTCCGTGCTTTGGAGACACCTGCAACTGGTTCCCAGATAATATGACCTTTCAACAAAATCTAACTGTGACCAAGGAAACACCTGCTATACTTTAAGAAGGAGTGAGCTTCGTGCCTAGGGCCATCGTAGGAAGAGTGATTAATGACCCCATTGTTTGCCTTTCCCTGTGTATGGATAACATTGAGTGTGGGAATGGAATGCCCCACCTTAATCAATAATCAAGTCTGTTAGCTATTACCAGGTATTCCATTTTCAATGTGATTGCTAACCACACATAAACCTGTATTGTTTAAATGTGACTCAATGCATGTACGCGCACTATTAGAAAAATATAAAAACTGTAACCAAACTCAGGCTTGTGGAATAGTCAACTGAGACAATTGGTTCTTTCCAATTTAAATCCTCAGTTTGAATAGCTGAATAAACTTTAAGTTTTAATGTTTTAAACAGACTCATAATTGCAGTCAATAAAGGTTCCAAAGGCACTTAGATTTTGAAAGTTTGCGGTACTCCTTCTATCTTCCAGCTCCTCAACACAAACAAGGGTTCTTCTTAATCTACCACACTAAAGGTGTTGGTCTTGTTACCGGAGAAGCAAAGGTCTTTGTGCAAGAAAGAATTCAGGCTTGAAACAGAGAGTAGTGGAAAGCAAAATAGCAAGGTTTATTAGGGTAGGGACATCTGTACGAACGGGTGGGCACCTCTCCAGACCGGACCTGAGAGAGTGCACAGTTTACATTTAGGCTGGGGCTTTTAAGTGGATGGGTCTTGCCTTCCCTCCCCCTCTCCTTCTTCTCCTCCTGAACAAAGGACTTGTTGGATGTAAATACGAAAAATTCCTTTCTGAGTTTTCCCCCTGAAGTTATCAGACAGGGGAAGCCTGGCTGGCGTCGCCCCACCTTAGAGGTTATCGGGTAGAAGGGGCAGGACCCCCTGGAAGGTCATCAGGATCTGAACAGGACGTTTGAATTGCAGATACTGGGGTGCACCTGGAAGGTTATCGGGGTGACTTTGCGATGCGGATGCTGGACCTAGATGTCAGTTCCTTAGGCCTTTGTCACACACACATAAGCTCATTTCTGACTTCCTGCCTAACGGCGTCACATGTTAACAACATCTCTTGGGGAATATCCAACTACTGCAAAGCTTACTGGTTTAGAACAAAAATGCTGTACAGTTTCTCACTGTTTGTGTGGGTTGGTCAGGAGTTCTGCTGCTGCTCTTGCCTGGGGTGTCTCGTGCAACCATATTCATTCAGCAGATGAGGTTGGCTGGAATGTGCAGGATGCCATGACCAGGGGCTGGCTACCAACCTGAAACCTTGTATCTCCTCCATGTGGCCATTCAGCTTCCAGGGCCTGGACAAGGTATCTTCATAACGCAGTGGTCTCAGTGTTATAAAAAGGGGGAACATAGGCACTGTGGGACAGATACCACTTCTGCCAAACTGTGGTGGTCAAAGTCATTCCCAAGGATAACCCAGATTCAGGCAGTAAAATTAAGTGGCCCTGTCTCTGTGCACAGTGGAATGGGTTCCCCCGGAACCCCATATTACAACAGTATACCAAACTCCCAAGACTTCAGCAAGTGAAAACTCAGAAGGAGGCTCAAAACTGGAACAGCTATGACCACGCCCCAGATAGAGGCAGCATGTATATGTGGGGAGATTTCTTGGGAAAATTTCTCTGTCATCACTCCTTGATTTTCTTTTTTTTTTTTTAATATTTATTTTATTTATTTGAAGACACAGAAAGAGAGAAAAAGAGGACAGAGAGAAGAGTCTCATCTATTGGTTTACTCTCAGATGCTGGAAAGGGGGGGGGCTGTGTAAAAAAAAAAAACAGAAACCTGGAGCTTGTTGCGGGTCTAGCACAGGGGTGCAGGGGCCCAAGGACTTGGGCCGTCTTCTACTGCTATCCCAAGCCATAGCAGAGAGCTGGTTTGGAAAAGGAGCAGCCAGGACTAGAACTGGCACCCATACGGGATGCTGGCACTTCAGGCCAGGGCATTAACCCACTACAGCACAGTGCCGGCTCCAATCCTTGATTTTCCTTCTTCCTACCCACCACAGCAGAATCATATACTGGCTGGAAGGGTCACCTTGGCACAACCACGATGTCTTCATAAAATACTAGCTAACCAGACTTAATACCACTCACTCTTGTACAATATATTTTCTTTGACCTAGTTTGACCACAGTTTGGAACATAGGGACTTTGAAAGAGCATAAAGCTTGACTAAATCTAGATTTTGTTTTTGTTCCAGAAAGAATCCTGTTGACCTAAAATGACTTCTGTGCTGTTTCTCTTTGCAACATATGGTAGAGCATTCCCCAGGAACGCCTGTTTTCTTCTGGCTCCTTGGGTATTCTTCCAAGTTTTGTTTTCAATTCCCTATTTTCCCAAATAGCAGGGTTTATTTTGGTCAAATTTAATCTACTTCAGTACAACCTGGGGCAGTTGAAATATAGATGGACTAGTTCTCTCTCCTGAAATC